AGGTTAATTTCTTATTCTTATTAAGCCAGTTAAGAAAAGAAAAATTCATGGCCGAGGACCACAAAAGAAGAAATATAATTAGTTTAAACATGTATTACGATCGAATTTTACATCCAAATAAATATTCCAGTACTTCAAGTACAAAAGACGATAAGAATTGAACAAAAAGGCAGTAAATACTAAATAATAAACAAATTGGTTTAAGATGGCTTCAAAACATAATAATTTATATATGACAATCAAATACATTAATAGAATAGCAGCAGATAATCAAATCAAGAGAAAAAGAACGAAGTAAAACCTATTGACATAGTTCTATATGACATATAATTAAAAGCTAGACAGGCACAGTGATCAGGTCCAAGACTGTTCTCCCACAATAGCACTCTTCGCTTAAGTGGTAAGTTATAATGGATTACTCTGTTCGAATACCAAAAAGTAGTGGAAAGCCATTAAAGAAATGGTCTATAACCTTTGCAAAATCCAGTAACTAACACATCCCGCCTAATCATTCCAGTTTGCTAATGGTTTCAATCACAACAGGTTACTTTCTTACTCTCATCTTTACCTCAACCAACACAAGACAAAATTGACCTTGTTCTCCCAAAACAACTTATAAAAACTAGAATTCATGCTTAGCAATGCTTAAATTCACAAGAAGTCAAACTTCGACCATTCATTTTCTTACATAGAGAAGGCAAGCCTTCGCAAACGTACATAGAGAGACTCGAAAGATAACGAGATAGTGAAATCACCTTTAACCTTGTTGCAGAAAGGGCAAGCTTCATACTGATAGAGAACGACGTCGGTGGGGCTGAACTTCCCGGAGCGTGGCGGCTCCTTAGCGTGCAGCTCTTGAGCCAGGGACGAGGCCGCTATGGAGAAGAACATAGTGCTCGTAGCATCACGTCCCGGAGAGGGGCTCGGTATTCCCAATCGATCGGTGAGTTTTAGTGAAGAACTATGGGTGCTTAACACAGCCCCTCGATGCAGCAGACGTCGAGTGGCTGCGGAGCTGTTGCCGCTGACGAAGCCGGAAATGGCTCGGCTTAAAATGGCGCGTCCATTTACTCCCCTCATGGTCCCAATTTACCAACCCAAATTGCCTTCCCTCTCCGAGATTATTTCTCACAGTCTCCACCTAATTACTACCGCTGGTCGAAAAACAAAACCAGCTTATTTAGCCAGGTTCGCGGGGTTTAACTAGGGTTTATGAAACTAGTTATTAAATTCAATTGACGTGCTTCCCGTTACGTAGAAAATGAACAGGTGTCCGGTGAGAAAACGCACCAGTGACGCGCGTGAAGATTTCAAGATAGTGACGCTACTGGAATCCCCAAAATAACCTCCCAGGCTCCCACCGAGTTAGATTCCTTCAACGTTATTTCATGTCAAATTCGTCATTTGACTGATTCACCTATTTCATATCTTCTTCTTCCCCAGCTCTCTGGCTTTCTCCCTCTTGCACGGCCTGCCCTGTGTAAAAAACGACATCCCTCTCTCTCTCTCTCTCTCTGCTCTTTATGGGCAGCGTTGAAGATGACGTCGCCTTGCAGCAGCCGTGGTATCCCGTCGCTCTGGTGGTTCCCCAAATCATCCGCGCCCCAAACGATACTATTCGAGTTTCGAGAGGGATCTCCCTGGGATGGGCTGGGCTGGGCACCTTTGGAGCCCCAGTCCGTTGGGCTTTCGTGCACAGCGGAGTTCAGCCTCAATCAAAGATGACTTGGGCCCAAAGTAATCACGTGGGGCCCATAAGTGTATTAGTTTGGGCCAATAAACCGAAGGGTAATTTCGGTAATTCAGGTAGGTATGAAACTACTAGGTCGGTGTGTAGAAGCCGGGCATCTCGACCCTATATATAGCCCTGAGTCCCACCCCTTCACCCCGCAAATTAACTTACGCAGTCGCCTTCCTTTTTTTCTCCTCCTATCAAGAAAACCCTAATCGGAGGATTTGCGTTCTTTCAGCGATTCTTTGAGAGATCTTTTTACTGGTTTTTAGATCACAGGAAAAAGACTTCTTGTTCTTTCTACAATTCTGATTCGAACACTTATCAAGGAACACCCTTCTTTTCGATCTAACGCAAGAAACGTTGTTTGTGAAATCTGAAAAGATATGTCGCGGTGCTTTCCCTACCCGCCTCCTGGGTACGCGAGGAACGGGGTTTCCGGTCAGGCCTTGATCGAATCGATTAAGGTTGGTTGAGCAGACCTCGTTCTTTGTGGAGGTCATGTTATAAGCTGTTCACGATTATAGCATAACTTAAAAGAGGATTATCGTATTAAATCCTCGACTGCTTGGCATGTTGCACGTATGGTTGTTTTTCTAAACTATTGTTCTGTAAGAAAATCCTCTGTATGTATATATATATATCACTCAGGTGAAATTTGTACTAATACCTGTAAAAACTTTATAGATGTGGTGTATAAATAATAACAAATAGGCGTTTGTTAGAATGGTGAGAGGAATATGGCTTCTTGTTGTTATGCTGTTTCTGCCTTGCCTTTTGAGTGTGTTAAAGAAATTGGAATGCAATTCCTTGGTGGAATAGGCCATAAAATTGTGTTCACTAATTGATTTTCCCGTACTTGTCAACTCAAGTATAATTGATGGGCAGTTGTAATTGAGTCTCTTAGATGGAACTATGAAATTTAAATGTTGTCCAGTGTTTGATTTCGCATGTTACCAACGGAATTTGTGCTTGAGGTGCGTGTAACTTTATATAATGGTATTAAGTAGGTTCATGGCCTCAGGACTAATCTGACATGATATGGCGATTAGATGATTTTCTCTTTTGGCTTTTTTGAAAGGAAACTGCCAACTTGTAATATTATAATTAGATTTCGCTGCTGACTTCTGTGGTTGAGTAAATGTTGTCTCCAAATTGAGGTTTTCTTACTTCATTTTGAAGTAGTTATATAAGTATATTTAGGAGAGATGACTGGATGGAATGAAAAATCGCAGAGGTAGAATTGAAACTTGGTTTTGAGATTCAATTTTTAATGGAATCGAATGCCCCTCCAAAGCCCCACATCTTGTCTTCGAAATTGAAAAAAAATAGATAGATTCATTGTACCATGGTGTCATACTGCTTTTTCTGGCTTGTTTGTTGTCAAGTCACTTATTTTTAATCAAATCGTCTAACTGGTTCAGCCGGTGATGTGTCTGGTTTATCAGGTGTGGCTTATAAATGTGTTTTGTCAAGCCACTTATTTTTAATCAAATCATCTAACTGGTTCAGCCGGTGATGTGTCTGGTTTATCAGGTGTGGTTTATAAATGTGCTTTATAAGCTCAATAAGCCGATAGATGTGTCATGAACAAGGGTTTGGTTTCATGGGTTGAGAAGTTTATGTGAGTTTGCTCACGGTTGTCTGGTTACGACATGCATATAGGAGTTTGTTGTCAATTATGTATAGATAGACCTTTTACCCCTAATCTAATGTCTCTTATAAGGTCCTTATTTCAGAGTTAAGTTTTTGTGACTCCTTGTGATTGAACAAAGGAATTGGATTTATTCTCTTTTGTGGATGTTCCCTTTTCATTTGGTCATTCTTTGGCCATCTTAGACCTGTGGTCTGAAATTGTTTCTGGTCAATTAAAGCTCCAGAGGAAAAAAGAGAAGGACATAACAGAACAAGCCAAAGAGAAGAAACGGGAAAGAAAGGAAAGAAAGAAAGAAAGGAAAGAAAAAGAGAAGCTAAAGCCCCTTGAACTATCTGCAAATGTCAAAAAGATTGCTGATGATGTGATTGGAAATAGTTTTCCAAAGCAACGAGAAGAAGAAGCCGAACAGGTGAAGAGTGATCTTACTGTAGAGCATGAGCAACCCATCTCATCTCAGAACCTTCTTTATTTGTCCGACAGTACACAGAACAGCAACAAGCGAAAAAGGCATGCTTCACCTTCTACTGAAAGCCACAACAATGGTTTGTCCTCCCAACTTCTGTTTTCTAGGCTCGGTGGTCTTTGTTTGTGCTTTTCCTTTGTTTATGTGCTGACATTTCATTTTAATGATGGCAGGAAAAGTCATTCGAATCGGTTTTCCTTCAAAAAGCACAAAGGAGCTGAAGCTTCTTCCAATGAGGAAGGTGTATGTTCTACATCTGGGAGGACAGCTTATCATCCTGCTCAGGAAATTCCCCAAGCACAACAACAATGTCGAGACATTAATACAAGGACAAATAACAGAGCTCCTGCCCAGGAAATTCCCCGAGCACAACAACAATGTCGAGACACTAATACGAAGACAAATATCAGAGCTCCTGCTCGGGAAATTCCCCGAGCACAACAACAATGTCGAGACACTAATACAAGGACAAATATCAGAGCTGTTGGGGTTGCTTCTGGACCAAATAAAGTATCGCCCACTTGTTCCAAAATTGATAGTGCATCTCCTCTGGTTGCTGCTGGAAATGTATCTGCCTCTAGTGGTAATAAGGCCCGCAGTATAGAAATGTTATATAAATCATTGGTTGAGGATTGGCTTCCACCTTCACTTTCACTTGATGAGAATGATACTGGTGAGCTAGAATGGCTTCTTGGAACTGAGCAGCGAAAAGGCAGTAGGGTTAAAAGAAATGAAACTGAAGAAGGTGTTTTATGCCATGTGAGTTCAACATTGTGGCCAAGGGCCAAATACCTACCCAGTGCTGATATTCATGCCCTACCATATACAATTCCATTTTGAGGTTAATAGCAATTCTGACTGGCAATGTAGCAAAAGTAAAACAGACAGAGACATCTTGTGCTGTGTTAAATGGTGTGGGCCAGCGGAAGCACCATTTCAGATGGAAATGCTAAGGTACTGCAGTTGCAGTGCTGTGGCTCAGAATTTTTTTGACGGCACCTTTTTTTGTTGAGGAATTTTTGTATAGCGGTTAGCATTGAATTTTTTTGCGTTCTCAATGGTGTTAAGGTGCTGTTTATAGAAGCCAGAGCTGTAACATGTATGTTCCCGTTACGAGGGCAGAAATAAATGAAATCTTTTTGTCCCTTCCATTAAGAAGTTTCTCTACGTATGTTGTGGTGGTAGGAGTGTTCTTTCTTAGTGGAAGTGCTGACTATCTATTGTTGCGTGTGAATTCTTTTGGACTTTTGTTATTTCTTTCTTCCAAACTTTAAGCATGTGCCGTGTTCTGTCTTGTTCTTTGGGGGAGAAATTTTTGAAATTACTCGAGCAAAGAAAAGTTTTGTTGAGTGTAATTAGTTGCTCGTTTAATTTACGGGAAGAATACAGTTGATTTTTAGAAGAAAGAAATTTTCTCACTGCTAAATGATAGATATCCAGACATGTTAAACGTAGGGAAAAAGTTGCTGTACATTGTTTTCTTTTCTTGCGAAAAGGAAGTATTCTTCATGCCAATCAGAAGATTCAATGCGTGATTGCCATTAGTTTTTTCCTTAATCAGTTGTGCTCTTCTTTCAAGTAATCTTTCAAGGTGAAGTGCTGTTTTTGTCCAATGCTCTCTACTAATGCGGTATCAACGCCAGACTTAAAAGATGGTTACATTGCATTTGCCATCTAGATCCAAAAGCAAGTAATCTAACCCTGTAAAATAGTCATCTCCATCCACTTCCTTCTCTGTCTCTTTCAAATTTGTAGTATAGGCAGTAATCAATTCTTATCACTTTCCCCTGCTAATAAGTGTAATATCTGAGCATGTCAAATTAAAGGAAACGAAAACCTTTATGTTAGCTCAAACTCCATTAATGACAAATAATAATAATAATAAAGAAGAGAAGTTTAGTCTATTTACCTGGTTTGCATTTGGACGTTTTTGAGCAGAATGGTTGATGCAGAGGGTTGCAGCCAAAACCATTCTATGCATTTGATCAATTCTTCGATGTTCCCTCTATCTAATAATGGTTTTGCCTGCAGTAAGTGTGCTCCAAAGTCATTCTTGCGTAAATCATATGTTGACATTTTACACTTCTTGTATGAAAAAGGGTTACAGCACTTACCCACATGACCAAGCTCTCTTGTCCCTTGGATGCCTCGTGATAAATTGGTTTCCTTCCAGATAATAGCTCAAGAAGAACAACACCAAAGGAGTATATATCACTTCTGTCACTCACCCTTCCATGCATAAAATACTCTGGAGCTATGTACCCAAATGTTCCTACCACTTCATCAATGGATGTCTGAGGTCCCCATATGGCAAATCCAAAGTCAGATAACTGCCCACATAAATACACATCCATCATTTAATAAAACATTAGATATAAAGTCAAATTTAAACCAATGTATGTATATAAAACAAGTGTATGTACATGTGGGCAAGAATCTTGAGAAAGAAGAATGTTGGAAGATTTGATATCTCTATGAATAACAGGCACAGAGTATTGATTGTGCAAATAGTTTAGAGCCTCTGCAATAGCTACACCCACTTTGAATCGCGTCTCCCATGGCAATACACTTCCACCTGTTACCAAATTCAACCTCCAGTGTCAACTTCCGCAGCTTGCAATAGAATTCTCTACTGGGTACGATTCAAATTTTATAATGTAATTGAAGAAAAAGATTACCGTGGAGGTTTTCCTCCAAGCTCCCAGTGGGAAAGAAGTCGTAGACGGAGATAAGGAGTCCATTTTCACAGCATACACCCAAAAGAGGCAAAATGTTTTGATGTTTAAGTGAAGAGAGAATGTCAACTTCCAAAGCGAAATCATTGACAGCTTGCTTGTATGATTTCAGAATCTTCACGGCCAATTCTCTGCCGCCGGGCAGACACCCTTTGTACACCTTACTACACCCTCCTTCCGCAATCAATCTCAAATAATATCACCTGAGGAGAAATTACAAGTCGTTTGCTTAAGTTCTCTATAGCTGAATTGCCTTCAACCGTTGGGGATCAATTTGAAAGACAGCTACTTTTCTCTGGGTTGCCAACTTCCTGATGTTGTTGGGCTATTGTTATCTTCATCAGAAGGTAAAATATCACTTTGGACTGAACTTCTCTTGCCATACAAGGCAAAGCAATTTTGAGTTCTTGTTGTTGTTGAGTTGACCGACTTGGCAGGTTCATTACCCACTCAACCACTAACATCTCCCTACTTTCATCAGAATCATTAAGTAGTCTGTTCCTGAGGAGATGCCAACATGGGGTTGCTGGTGAAGAACAGGAACTTGAATAAAGATCACGATTTCTAGTGCTCTCATCTTTTGATTCTTCCTCTGAGCTAACATCGTATTCCTCTGAGTTCTGGTTGATGATAGTTACTTTTTTATCAGGACGCGAGGCAGATTAGACACCCATTTATTAATTGTAGAAATTTTGGTTTCTTCAATACATGGAGAAGTGGTTCCAAGAAGTAAAGGCCAACGAAGAGATGATTCTTCAACTGCTTGACATGTTGCAAATATGGTTGTTTTTCAAAACTATGGTTCTGTAAGAAAATCCTCTTTATGATTCATATCACGCAGGTGAAATTTGTACTAGTACCTGCAAAAACTTTAAAGATGTTGTGTATGAATAATATCAAATAGGCGTTTGTGAAGGGAATGTAGTTTCTTGTCAGTATTAATTTGGGTATTGTTTCTGCTTTGCCTTTTGAGTGCTAAGGAAATTGGAACACAGTTCCTTGGTGGAATAGGCCATAAAACTGTGTTCACTAACTGATTTTCCTGCACCTGTGAACTCAAGCGTAAATGATAAGCAGTTGTAAGCTTAGTCTCTTTAGATAAAGCAACTATGAAAATTTAAATGTCGTTCAGTGTTTGATTTTGCAGAGTCTTGTGAAAAAATTGACTGAGAAGTTGAGAAAGTTTATAAAAATAGAGAGCAAAGTACAAGGAATAAAAAAGAAAAAGTTGCTGAAATGATTTTTGATTGATATTTTTTAGCATACATCAACTCCTTAAATGGAAAATAAATTTGAAGTAGTCAACATAAATATTGAATCAGATTTATTCATTACACATGTTCCAAACAACAGATTTCCAATGTTGATTTAATGTAAATCTGCATATTTTCAACAGCTGGTATTAATTTTCTGCATATTTTCAACTTGTGTAGTTTGCTGCATATTTCCAACACCTTGTGTTAATTTTTCTGGAGATTTGTATCGGTCTTTTATTTAAAAAAAGACTCATAAGTCAACACTCATTCTTGAGTTTTTCTTTGAACACATATAGTTTTCACCTCAGATCTTCAAATTTGCCTCTTGGAAGTGGCTGTTTGAGGCTATACAAAGTCTTCTTCAACTTGTATACCATATCCGCATTTCCTTTAAAGCCTCCAATTTAGTTTTGCTGCTAAAGTCACCAACAATTTGATGGTGTCATGCCTTATTACAGGTGCAAAGGTATCATCATAGTCCACTTCTGAAAATTGTGCATAACCCTTCACCCCCAACCTTGCTTTGAATGAGAAAATGGAACCATGAGAGTTGAATTAGTCCTATATACCCATTTGACTCCAATAACATGCTCATTTTCAGGCCTTGGTACAAGCTGCCAAGTGTCACTTTCATTGATTATGTTAATCTCGTTCTCCATAGTAAGCTGCCACTTTTTATACATCATAAGCGCTTCATAGTTTATAAGTTCAATGATGATTAAGTTGCACATTCCATAATCCTCTGCCAATAACTTAGTCTTTGTTGTTCGTGTGTTTGTAGCTGGATCATCAAATTCTGCAAAATCAATTTAAATATTTTCAGCAACACTTGAGGAACTTGAAGCTACAATAGTGCATCTTGTATGAGTTTTTTTACTTCAGCTTGTTTCTTATCCCAATTCAAGAATATTAATTCATCAACAAGCACATCTTCATTGAGAAAAACTTTTCTTGCCACCGCATTGTAAACTCTATAACCCTTGGTCTGAGCTTTACAATCAGCTAGCTTAAGTATATTAGTAACCATTCTACTCTTTTGCATAAACTTTAAAGAGTCAACATTGTAATGACCAAATCTTTTGTGCTACAACCATGTTAAATCATTCTTAGCAACAAAAGAATGTTGGTTTGTATATTTTAAACTAAACACATAGTTACTCATTTTTCTTGATATATACTACTAACACATTTGCATGATCATAAATAAAGCAGTAATCATTTTCGAACAAAATGGAATAGCTCTTGTTTTGAATTTTAGCAATACTCAACAAATTTTGCTCTAAAGTAAGAATAAAGAGCACATCAATTATGAGTTTGGTACCTTGCTTAGTTTGAATCAGTATTGAGCCTTTTTTTTTAGCTTTTATGACTGTTCCATTGATAAGTTTCACTTTAATTCTATAATTAACATCCAAATTGCTGAACAACATATGATCCTTAGCCATACGACTTGTGTATCCACTATTCACATACCACAAATTATTTCTTCGCACACAAAATGCCTCAGTCATCATGAAAAGATGACTTTCCCACTACACATGTTTCTCAGCAAAATAGATTTGGTGTTGTTGAAGTAGTTGTTGTTGCTTTTTAGTCTCATTCTTTTATTGTGATGCTAGATTTTTTTTTTCCAGCACATCTTCTCTGAATGACTACAGTTTTTGCAAATCTTACATTGTACATGACAACATTTGCTCTTATAATGGTTGGATTTACCACAACTTCCACAAGGAAGATATTTTCCTTTTTCTTGATGAATCTTTTGAATTTTGTGGTTACCTCCTTTTATTTGCTGAGGATTGAGCTTCATCTTTTGAAGTTAAGGTCCTAAACTTGTACATCTGTCTTGCTTGAAAAGTATTTTCAGTGACCTCGTCATTTCTGATTGAAACAATTAACTCTTGAGCCTATAGTTTATTGAGAAGTTCAGCAACAATAAGTTTCTCAAGATCACATGTTCCTTCGCTTTGATTCAAACTTCTAGGGGAGGCTAATCATCATTTCTACAATCATTCTATGATATTTGAAGTCTCTTCCAAGCAATCTCATTTGAGTAACAAGATTCATAACTCTTGTAAAATACTCTTTGATACTTTTTCTATCCTACATTCTTAACAGCTCAAACTCTTTTTTTAGAGTCAACAATTTCACACCTCTCACTTTAGCATTTCATGCATATTCTTCTTTCAAATAGGCCCAAACTTTCTTGACTGTTTTGTAGGTCACCAGTCTTGTGAATATGTCTTCAAACACTGCAGAATGAAGAATTGAAAGAGCTTTAAAATTCCTCACGGACCCTTCTGCGTCTTGCCTAATTTGTGGTAATGTGGGATTTCCGGGCAATGAAACTTTTACATATTCATCCTCCATAACACCCCACAGATCATAGGCAAGAAGATAAGTTTTCGTTCTCACTGCTCAATAATCATAATTCTCCCCCCTAAATACTGGTAAAGCTGATAAATTGATTTGAAGACTTTTTTTTTTAAAGGAGGAACACAATCCCTTAAAAAAACTGCTCTGATACTACTGTTGAGTTTTATAAAAAAATTAAGTTGAAGAAGTTTAGAAAAATAGAGAGCAAAATACAAATAAAAAAAAAAAGAAAAGAAAAAGTTGCCAGAATAATTTTTTGTTGGTTTTTTTAGCATATATCAGATTCTCAAATAGAAAATAAATTCAAAGTAGTCAGCATAAACATTAAATCAGATTCCCAATGATTTAATTATACATGTTCCACAAATTTTCGATTTGTGTTAATTTGTTGTACATTTCCAACAACTCATCTTAATTTTTCTGGAGATTTGCATTAGTTTTTATTAAAAAGAAAAACTCATTAGTCAACAGATTTCACATGATACCAACAGAATTGGTGCTTGAGGTGCATGTAACTTTATTGAATGTTAGTAAGAGGTTTCATGGGCTTAGAACTAATCTGACATGATATGACAATTAGATGATTGTTTCTTTTGGCTCTTTTGAAAGGAAACTGTGAACTTGTAATATTATAATTACATTTCTGTACTGAATTCAGTGGTGAAGTAAACATTATCTCCAAGTTGAGCTTTCCATTGGAAACTTGGGTTGAGATTCCATTTTTTACTGAATCGAATGCCCTCCAGAGCCCCACATCTGTCTTCGAAATTGAGAAATTTTGGTAAAATGATCCGTTGTACCATGGTGTCGTGCTGCCTTCTCTGACTTGTTTTTTTGTCAAGCCACTTATCTTTAATCAAACAATATCTGGTTCAGCCAGTGATATGTCTGGTTTATCAGGTGTGGCTTATAAACTGTGCTTTGCAAGCTCTATAAGCCGGTAGATGTGTCATTAATAGGGGTTTGGTTTCATGGGTAGAGAAGTTTTGTGAGTTTTCTCTGGGTTGTCTGGTTATGACATGCATATAGGAGTTCCTGCAAATTGACCATGTATAGAGACATTTTACCCCTAATCCTTATGTCCCTTATAATAAGGTCCTTATTTCAGATTTAAGTTTTTATGATTCCTTGTGATTGAACAAAGGGAATTGGATTTTATTCTCTTTTGTGGATGTCCGCGTTTCATTTGGTCCTTCTTTGGCCATCTTAGACCTGTGGTCTGAAATTGTTTCTGGTCAATTAAAGCTCCATAAGAGAAAAGAGAAGGACAAAGCAGAACAAGCCAAAGAGAAGAAAAAGGAAGGAAAGAAAGAAAGAAAGGAAAGAAAAAGAGAAGCTAAAGTCCCTTGAAATATCTGCAGATCTCAAAAAGATTGCTGGTGATGTGATTGGAAATAGTCTTCCAAAGCAACGAGAAGAAGAAGCTGAACAGGTGAAGAGTAATCTTACTGTAGAGAACGAGCAACCCATCTCGTCTCAGAACCTTCTCTATTTGTCCGACAGTACACAGAACAGCAACAAGAGAAAAAGGCATGCTTCACCTTCTACTGAAAGCCACAACAATGGTTTGTCCTCCCAACTTCTGTTTTCTAGGCTCGGTGGCCTTTGTTTGTGCTTTTCTTTTGTTTATATGCTGACATTTCATTTTAATGATGGCAGAAAAAGTCATTCCAATTCGGTTTTCCTTCAAAAAGCACGAAGGAGCTGATGCTTCTTCCAATGAGGAAGGTGTATGTTCTACATCTGGGAGGATTTATCATCCTGCTCAGCAAATTCCCCGAGCACAACAACAATTTCGAGACACTAATACAAGGACAAATATCAGAGCTCCTGCCCAGGAAATTCCCCGAGCACAACAACAATGTCGAGACACCAATACGAGGACAAATATCAGAGCTCCTGCTCGGGAAATTCCTCAAGCACAACAACAACATGGAGACACTAATACAAAGACAAATATCAGAGCTGTTGGGGTTGCTTCTGGACCAAATAAAATATCGCCCTTTTGTTCCAAAATGAATAGTGCATCTCCTCTGGTTGCTGCTGGAAATGCTATATAAATCATCGGTTGAGGATTGGCTTCCACCTTCACCCTCACTTGATGAGAATGATACTGGCGAGCTAGAATGGCTTCTTGGAACTGAGCAGCAAAAAGGCAGCTGGGTTAAAAGAAATGAAACTGAAGAAGGTGCTTCATGCCATGTGAGTTCGACATTGTGGCCAAGGGCCAAGCACCTACCCAGTGCTGATATTCATGCCCTACCATATCCAATTCCATTCTGAGGTTAGTAGCAATTCTGACCGGCAACGGAGCAAAAGTAAAACAGACAGAGACATATCGTGCCATGTTAAATGGCGTGGGCCAGCTTAAGCACATGTAGGATCCTGATACGTGCATAATCTAATTTAATTTATTTATATTTAAAAAATTATATTACAGATTAAAAATTAAATTTAAAATATATATGCCAATAAATTCTTAAATTAAAATTATTTTAAAATCCGAATATTCTACGTATCTTCATATCGAATTTAATACTTATTATTCAATTTTTTAATTAATAAAATATACGATAAAATAAACAATATATATGTTAAAATTTTAATAAAAAAATTCACCAAAATTTTTATTTAGTGTGCAGCTGATTTTTTTAATTCACTTTTATCTTTTTTCAAACTCTCACCGTTATATATATATATATATATATATATATATATATGTATCATATATATATATATCTTCAAGTTGTGTTATAAACACATTATCTTCCAACTCATCATTTATGAAATCTGTTTTTATATCTATTTGACATATATCATAATCATAGAATGCAGTTACAACAAGTAGAATCCGAATTGATTTGAACATTGGTACAAAGAAAAATATTTTATCATTATCGATTCATTTCTTTTAACGATATCTCTTAGCAACAAGATGGGTTTTATAAGTTTCCACCTTTCCGTCTGCTCCAATCTTTTTCTTAAAAATTCATTTACAACTAATAGACTTTATGTTTTTAAAGTTTCAATCAAAATCCAAATTTTGTTGACCTTCATGGATTCTATTTTAGATTCCATGATCTTTATCCATTTCTCATAATCAAAACCTTGTATAGCCTCGTCATAAGTCTTGGGGTCATCATCATCATGATTAACCTTATTTGTACATCATCTTACACTAAAAGATTTAACATGTCTGGTGTATGACGTTGTCTAACAAACTTTCTAAGAGGTTTGTATACAACTTGCTCACTTTGTATTAGATTAGGTTGTTGTTCAATATAATTTTGAATAGGTTCATTAACTGGTCTTTGAACAACATTTGTTTTTTGAACCTCAATCATTAGAGATAACAACTTCCTTGTCATCTTTAAAATCTCTATTAAAGATTACTCAACTTACTTCTCATGATCTTCTTTTTGTATTGATTCATTAGTTTCTTGAATTTCATTAAGTTTAATTCTTTCACTATAATTTCATTCAAAAAGAAATTCTCTTTCTAAAAATATTGTTCTCCTGGTCACAAACATTTTATGGTCATATGGGTGATAGAAATAATAGCTCATTGTTTTTCTAGAATACTCAATAAATCTGCACTTATTAGATCTTGAGTCAAGATTATCAGTTTGTAATCTCTTAACATAAGTTGGACAACTTTAAACTTTAACGTACTTAAGCCTCGGTTTATGTTATTTTTATATCTCATATACTATTGTAAAAATTAATTTAGTTGGTACTTTATTAACAAATATACTGCAATTTTTAAAGTATATCTACATAAATTAATTAAAAAATCTGTAAATCCCATTATTGATCTCACCATATCTAATAAGGTTTGATGTCTTACTTCGGACACACCATTGTATTGTGGTGTTCCAAGAGGGGTTCATTGTGAGAGAATCTCATTCTTTTTGAGATATCTAGTAAAATCATCACTAAGATATTCTTCTCTTCTATCAGACCTTAGCATTTTAATTCTTTTGTCAGTTTGTTTCTCAACTTCACTATGGAATCTTTTAAACATTTCAAAAGATTTAGATTTATATTTCATAAGATACGCAAATTCATATCTTGATATTTGATCAGTAAATGTGATAAAGTGAGAAAATCCTCATTTGGCTTGAGTTTTCATGAGGCCACAAACATTAGCATGAATTAGTTCTAATAATTTAGAAATTCTTTCTCCATTTCCAACAAATGAAGATTTGGTCAATTTTCTTTTGAGACAAGATTTACAAGTTGGATATGATTCATAATCATATTTGTTAAAGTAACTTTCTTTGTACAACTTGCTTATTCTTTTCTCTCTAATATGACCAAGTTTACAATGCTAAAGATATGTATAATATACTTGATCATCTTTTTTTTTCTTAAGATTAGAAACATGTAAAACTGAATTTTTAAGAAGAATACAGTTTAATTTACAGGAAGAATACAGTTGAATTTTAAAAGAAAAAAAATGCTCACTGCCACTATAATACAATTCCGGACATGTTAAGTGCAGAGAGAAAGTTGCTGTACATCGTTTTTTGTTCTTGCGAAAAGGGAATTATTCTTCATGGCAACCAGATTCAAAACTTGTTTGCCATTAGTTTTTTATTTAATCAGTAACGCTGATCTTTCAAGTAATCTTTCAACGAGAAGTGCTGTTCTTTCAAGTAATCTTCCAACGTGAAGTGCTGTTTTTGTCCAGTGCTCTGTGCTGATGCGGTATCAACACAAGACTTAAAGATGCTTACATTTCCTTTACAATCTGGATCCAAAAGCAAGTAATCCAGTTGCTGCTGCGTGATGCAGCTCAACCCTGTAAAATAGTCATCTCCATCCATTTCCTTCTCCGTCTCTTTCAAATTTGTAATATAAGCATTCATCCATTCGTTCTTATCGCTTTCCTCTGCTAATAATTGTAATATCTGAACATGTCAAATTAAAGGAAATGAAAACTTTTATGTTAGCTCGAACTCGATTAATCACACAAAAAATTAATAGAGAAGAGAAGTTTAGTTTACTTACCTGGTTTGCATTTGGACGATATTGAGCAGAGTGGTTGATGCAGAGGGTTGCAGCCAAAACCATTCCGTGCATTTGATCAATGTTAAAGTCGCCATGTAATTTTGGGTCAATCAACTCTTCGATGTTCCCACTATCTAGTAATGGTTTTGCCTGCAGTAAGTGTGCTCCAAAGTCATTCTTGTGTGAATTATATGTTGACATTTTACACTTCTTGTATGAAAAAGGGTTACAGCACTTACCCACATGACCAAGCTCTCTTGCCCCTTGAATGCCTCGTGATAAATTGGTTTCCTTCCAGATAATAGCTCAAGAAGAACAACACCAAAGGAGTATATATCACTTCTGTCACTCACCCTTCCATGCATAAAATACTCTGGAGCTATGTACCCAAATGTTCCTACCACTTCATCAATGGATGTCTGAGGTCCCCATATGGCAAGTCCAAAGTCAGATAACTGCCCACATAAATACACATCCATCATTTAATAAAACATTAGATATAAAGTCAAACTTAAACCAGTGTATGTACATAAAACAAGTGTCTGTACATGTGGGCGAGAATCTTGAGAAAGAAGAATGTTGGAAGATTTGATATCTCTATGAATAACAGACGGAGAGCATTGATTGTGCAAATAGTTTAGAGCCTCCGCAATAGCTACACCCACTTTGAACCGCGTCTCCCATGGCAATACACTTCCACCTGTTACCAAATCCAATCTCCACTGTCAACTTCCGCAGCTTGCAATAGAATTCTCTACTGGGTTCAATTCAAATTTTATAATGAAATTGAAGAGAAAGATTACCGTGGAGGTTTTCCTCCAAACTTCCAGTGGGAAAGAAGTCGTAGACGGAGATAAGGAGTCCATTTTCACAGCATACACCCGAAAGAGGCGTAATGTTTTGATGGTTGAGTGAAGAGAGAATCTCAACTTCCAAAGCGAAGTCATTAAGAGCTTGCTCGTATGATTTCAGAATCTTCACCGCCAATTCTCTGCCGCCGGGCAGACACCCTTTGTACACCCTACTACACCCTCCTTCCGCAATCAATTTCTCTGTTACAAAACCAAATGGGTTTTCAGATTCAAACGAAAAAGGAAAAAAAAAAAAAACAGAGGCTTCTGTCTCTATGGTTTAAATCAATCACAATTAAAATCACCTGAGGAGAAATTATAAGTCGCTTGCTTGAGCTCTCTGTAGCTGAATTGCCTGCAACCATTGGAGATCAATTTCAGAGACAGCTCCTTGTCTCTGGCCGATGCTGTTGGGCTACTGTCATCTTCATCAGAATCATCCTTACAAGAAGGTGAAATATCACTTTCGACTGAATCTTCACTTGTCGTACAAGGCAAAGCAATTTTGACTTCTTGTTGTTGAGTTGACCGACTTGGTAGGTTCATTACCCACTCAACCACTGACATCTCCCTACTTTCATCGGAATCATTAAGTAGTCTGTTCCTGAGAAGACGCCAACTTGGGGTTGCTGGTGAAGAACAAGAACTTGAACAAAGATCATTGGAGCTCTCATCTTTTGATTCTTCCTCTGCGCTAACATCGTATTCCTCTAAGTTTTGGTTGACGATAGCTACTCTTTTATCAAGACGAGGCAGATCAAACGCCCATTTATTAGTTGTAGAAAATTTTGTTTCTTTATTACATGGAGAATTGGCTCCAAGAAGTAAAGGCCAACCAAGAGATGATTCTTCTGGGATCTCTCTTCTCATTATCGAAATACATCTCAACGGACTTGCCTTCTTGAAACCAACATCATCTCTTTCTACATCCTGAGTTGCATTAGATCCGCTGTTTTCATCAGATACTTTCTCTGCAATAAAGAAATTGATGGTCTCTAAATATATTCATTCAAAAGCTTCCCCTGTTAAATTACGAAGTTTCAACTTCAAACGTATACGTATATAACGTACCTGGGAAGGAAATTACAGGAAGGAGGAGATGCGGTCCTAATTTTACAACCTCTACAAGGTCACAGCTGAGAAATTCCTTATCAGGGGCATGTCCGTTCACCAGGATGCCATAAAACACTCGCGTCTTTTTGTGGAACCTTCTTGCTAAACATGTCTTCTTCATCATTAATTAACGATACTCTACTTCTCTAACTTTTGAATTTGCAGAGAACCCAGTTGCTTCAGTCGCCTCTCCGGATTGAATATGAATTAAAATTACGAATTTATGATGATAAGACTAGATTACAGTAGTGGATTTCAAGAACGTAGCTATCACCAACGACCTGAAGAACAAACCTTGCAATCCAAGTTGACGGATTTAAACAGACAGCAAGAGAATTCAAAGTCTATTGGGGGTCTTACCAGGAAACCCAATAAAAAACATTAGCCTTTAAATTATGAAAAACCTGATTGAACTTTTTGAATGAAGAACGTTAAGAGGACACGCATCTGCTTACTTTGAATCTTTTGAACTTGGTTTTACTTTACTTGTATTATATAATTATCATTATTATATGTATATAGAACTCAACTACTGCACTAAAATACAGATTCGCCGCCATTCTTGTCAGTACATTTAATAAGACTTTTAGTTTTTTAATGGACAAGAAGTAAAACTTTATTTAAACGTGGTGTCTCCACACTGGAGGAAGGGTGAGCCGCCTTCAATAATCTCAACTCTTTGACATTGCTGAACAAATTATTTTAAAGCAGCAAGTTAAATTTGAACATTAAATATTTATTTAAAGAAATAGTCACAAATTTTAATAAAATACCAATTTCAAAAATATCCGTATTTTTTAAAAAAATTATATTTACTATAAATATTTTATAATTTATATTATTACTATGTATTAATAATTTTTTAAGCAACAATTACTAATAGCGCACACAACCACATCTACTTCTTAAAAAAAATATTTTATTTACTCGAATTAAATAATTTATTTATAATTAATTTAACGATAATTAAAATAAAAATAATAAATTAATTTATGAATATTAACACTCATTATAATTTAATTTATAATATTTTTTTGTTATAATTTAGTTCACGATTTTTTTAATTTATTTTATTTGTTAGAAAATGAAAAAAAAAATTGAATGTCTAAAAAGGGGATTAAATTATTAATAAAAAAATATTAAAAATTAAATTATAATAAATGTTAAATTTTTAAAAAATAATTATAAATGTATACTTTAATTATCTACTAAAAAAGTAAAATATATTCAAAATGTAGGATAGTTTATACAAAATTAAATATAAAAATTGATTTATTTGGAAAACAAAAGTTGGAGAAACAAAATAAAAAATAAGAAAGAAAATGAGTGTAGAACCAATTGGTTTCCTCCTATGGTGTAATATAATTTATTAATGGTTTGTATGGTTAGTATAGGAATACATGTATAGATATTATTTTTATTACAATAACATATTTTTAGTGATTAACATGTTAACCAGAATTATTTTATTTTATTCTCAAGTAATTTTGTAGATGATTGTAGGTAAAATTTTATAATATAAAGTTTCTACAATATTAACATAAAAAGGTATTTTTGTAATAAAATAAAGAAATTCTTGTAAATTATTAATAAATTTAATCATATATTTTTTTTTGTATATATAAATAAAAAGAAAAATGGGAAGCTATGGAAATTCTCGCATGCGTTTCTCATTTCACCTGCGAGTGGGGACGCTACTTTTCCCGTATATATATATATATATATATATATATATATATATTAAAGCTTAACTGCAATAATGGGTGCTTGAATTAAAAAGTAGAACCCCAATTTCTCTGTGTCAGAACATAAACGTTGTTCAAGGTTTCAACCTCTCCACACACGGCCAGCGGGGGGATACATGAAAATGATGCTGGGCGTTGCCGAGGACGAAGATAAATGGCTTGCGGAGGGGATCGCGGGCATTCAACACAACGCCTTTTACATGCATCGCTCTTTGGTACTCAAATTAAGATCACACAATCTCAGTTTATATTCTTGATTTTTGGGTTATAGAACCCTAATTTGTTTCAATCTTTGATCTGTTTTTTTTTTTTTTTTTTATCTCAGGACTCTAACAATCTCAGAGAGGCTCTCAAATACTCTGCTCAGATGCTATCGGAGCTCCGCACCTCGAAACTCTCCCCTCACAAATACTACGACCTCTGTGAGTTCGTTTTCCTCTTCTGACTGATCAAGCCATATGAATTGAATTTTGACAAAAACACACACACATATATATTTAAATTTTAGGCGATTGTGATTGATTTGGCTGGTATTAATTTTTGTTTGGTGATTTAGATATGAGAGCTTTCGATGAATTGAGGAAGCTGGAGATATTCTTCAAAGACGAGAGCAGGCACGGCGTGTCAGTTATCGATTTGTACGAGCTTGTTCAGCATGCTGGCAACATTTTGCCTAGACTGTAAGTGGCAAGAAGTTTCACAATTTCTTAGAATTTCAATCTTCTGATTAGTTAATGAGAGACACGTGCGTTTGCAATGTTCACTTGAATGAACTTGGTATGTGTGCGGTACCAGTTTATGTAAGACCTTAATTTAATTGAAGGTTTTAGCCTTTTGCGGCATTAATTCTTCTCACATTCCTAAAAATAATATATTGATACCTGTCCCAATCATGCCAAACCTTCTTAGCTCATTGGTCTCAACTCTCTTGGTTCCCATTCGGTAAGAGTTGAGGTTTATGACTTGACATAAAAAATTTGTTGTCACGATCAAGCAATTTGGGTAAGATAAAATTTCCTCGTCTCAACATTTTAGTGTCATTTAGTTTTAGCCTCTTCTGATTTTACTGGAAGTAGTCTCTGTTATATATAATTTTTAAATGCTATTGTTAGATCCAGCCTTGGAGTTGATAAGAATCAGTGAAAGTTCTCCCACATAAAGAATGCATTCCTATTCTTTGTGTAGGAGAAATGACAGAATATATGTTTAATATATAAGATATCGGGCCAGCTTAATTGTTGTAGCTTTTAGATAAAATATTGTATATAGTACCAATCACTGGAAACTCTGTGGAAGAAATATGTCTGACACAGATTTTCTTTTGATTATGTTTATAAACGCTGGGAATTGCAATTCATGTTTCCCTGAACAAGAAAGCTCAATGTGGGGCCTTCATCCTTCAGATATGTGAATTAACTACGTTTATGTACTTTATGGTACATCCTGATTATTTATCCTTTGATTTCTTGAGGAATGCTGATTTGCCTACTTGCATAAGCTACGATTAACTTCTCTTTTTTCTTGAGGTTGAAAGTGCAAAAGCCAAGAGCTTAAGTGCTTCATGAAATTTGCATGTCATATCCTTAAAATATTATTTTATTCTCTTTGTCAGGTTTTTGAAATTTCCTTTGTTAATCTACCAGGTATCTCCTATGTACGGTAGGGTCTGTATACATCAAAACTAAGGAGGTACCTGCAAAGGATGTTCTTAAAGATCTTGTAGAGATGTGTCGTGGTGTTCAGCATCCAATACGGGGGCTCTTTCTTAGGAGCTACCTTGCTCAAGTCAGTAGAGATAAATTACCAGATATTGGCTCAGAGTATGAAGGGTAAGAGGATAACTTGATTTTTTTTTTTGTTTATTTTTCGTGGTGGACTTGTTCTTTACTCCTTATTTTCTCCTTCATGTAAAATGTTCTTTTGCATCCTTCTTACTCTATATTTCCTTTGATATATATTTAGTGTTCAGTGTTTCTTTGGTCCTTTCTGAATGTTATTGATCGTGTTAATGAAGATGTCTATTTGATTTTATTAGGAACTGATGAAATAAAATTCTGCACTTTGTAATGGAAACACTACTGCACGACTTGAAACTATTTGTCTGTAAAGAATGTATAATAATTTCTGGGTATGGGATGAACGTAACCTCAAACTTTGTTGATTTGGCAACCAAAATGGATGAATTCCTGGAAGGCCTCTCTCTTGCTCTCATAGTGGTTCAGTTGATGGCTTCACTGGAGGACAGATGATGTAGGGCAAGTAGAGTATAAAACCAACTTATCCATGACAGTACAGAAGTATCGGAAATTTAGGTGAAGAAATGGAAGAATAACAGAAACATTGAAGGAAATTAAGGATTGAAGCAAAGAATTACAGAAAGAGATAAAAGGAACATGGTAGGCTAGAGACAGAGGACGTAATTACAGAAATTCTGAATTCAGATTTATCTTCTACTTTCTATATTTGTTACTCCTGTATAGGCACAAATTACAACACTGATTATAATGTAGACAAACCCGAAAGTTCCTAAATTCTAATCAAAGTTGGAACTTACTAAAACTAACTACTATTTGCTAAATAGTAAACAATTTAATAATGCTAAGATATCAAAATAATTACAAAAATGTTTCCTGCCAGGAAAATTCTTCCATTTTTGAATCCCTTTCTTCATCATTCTCCCTCACTTGGCAAAAATTTGAACTCAAATATATAGAGTTTCATTGAAAGTTTGAATACTTCCGTCCTCGAGAGATTGTAGTGTTCTCTCTTAAAGAGCCCGTACATAAGTAAATGTAGAAAAACACTAAATCATTCAAAAATTTCTAAGTGATGATGTTCATTGGCCCATAACTAAATGCTTTAGTAGGGGAGAAAGCCTATGATCATATGAACTGATGACTCCTCGATTACATGATGGAGAGAATGAGTTATAGGAACAAATGGCGTAAGTGGATCAGATCTTGTATTTCTACCCCTTCATTTGCTTTTATGCTATCATCTTTCTTAGAGCTAACAAAGAACTCATACACATACAAGGAAATCCTTTGTCCTCTCTTATGTTTATCGTTATTATGGGGACACTCAACAGAATGTCCTTGAGGGCTAGAGATTTTGGGATGTTCAAGGGGTTAAAGGTAGGGGATGGTGGGCGTGTGGAGGAGGTAATTCATTTATTTTTTGCTGATGATATATTGCTTTTTTGTGAACCGAGTGAGAGGACTTTACTCAATTTTAAATGTACTTTGTTAAGTTTCCAAACAGTATTTGGCATCCACATTAAGCTTGCAAAATATGACTTGGTGAGGATCAAATATTTGGGGCTTCTGCTGGGAGCCAAATATAAGGAAGTTTCGACTTGGTGGTGACACGTTTTGAACAATGATTGTCTGGATGGGAGAGTTTGAAAGAATAGAATGAATATTGTTGAGAGAAAATGACCTATAAATACATGATTCTTAGTACAGGAAAGGAAACCCTAACATTAATTTTACACCAATATCTTACTATATAACCTTACATATTAAATTACACATATACACTAACACTTCACCTCAATCTGGTGAATAGACATTGTCTATTCCCAACTTGGCTATAATCGACTGAAAAATGGATTGCTTAGACCTTTAATGAGCATGTCTGTAAGTTGTGAGCTGGTAGACTTGTAGAATGTGAAATCAAACCGTTGTCTAATTTTTCCTTGATGAAATGTCTGTAGATTTCATTATGTTTGGTCTGGTCATGCTGTACCAGATTATGGGTAATGTTGATTGTGACTTGTTGCAGTATAGTCTCATTAAGTCATTCCACTTAATCAACTTTAATCATAGCAGTTCACATGCTCTTTGGGTTATTGCTTGAAATTTTGATTCAGTAATAGACCATGCCACCATATTATATTTCTTACTTCTGCATGTAGTTGATCTTCTATCTATCACTAATCTGGCATAGTCTGCATCAGTATTTGCCTCCAGTAATAGTCGAGTATTCTTTCTTAATAAAATACCTTTTCCTGGTGTTCTCTCCAAATACTGTAGTACTAGGTTTGCTGTTTGTAAATATACTTTTTAAAATTATGCATAAACTGACTAATCATACTTACTATATATGCAATGTCTGGTCTAGTGTGGGAGAAATAGATAAGTCTCCCCTTAGCCTTTGGTGCATCTCCTTGTTGATGGTTGCATCTTTCTCTGCCAATTCCAGTTGTGGTTGGGATTAATTAGTGTGTACGCAAGTTTACATGCAAGTTAACTTATATCCTTCAGGAGATTGCTGATGTACTTCTACTGAGAAATGAAAATTCCTTATTTCAGTGAGCAACCTCAACACCAAAGAAGTATTTTAGCTTCCAATTCTTTAATTTCAAATTCCTTGGCCAGATATTGTTTCAGCATCACCATCTCTTTCTTTCAGTCTACTACTAGAGAGCAGTCACTCCTCTGAATTTAGTGCTTGATAACAAAGTGTAATCTCTTGCCCTTGCTTGGATCGGTTGCAAACCTTCTAA